TTTGTTTTTTTTTTTGCAGGGTTGGGGGAGGGGGTCTCTGCAATTTCTTCAGCCTACCCTATCTGAATTTTCTGGATCTGTCCCTGCATACCTGACCTGCATCAACAGTCTTTTTTTTTTTAAATTCTTTTTAAAGAGTGTCTGACTTGTTTCAATGAACAACACACACCACTTTCCTGATAATGTTGTGTTAGAGATGTATTGTTTTAATCCTCAGAAATTTCTCTTCTGTTTTGCTACGAAAACAAGTTAACTACAAAAGAAGCTGATGTTAATATAAGCATTCCATCATGATTTGTAAGCTGTGTGCTTTTTCTTCCATAAAGGGATTTAAAGCACACTGCAAGAAACCAGTACATTGTATGAAGGCTTGAGCATTCGTCTTTATCACCTACTAGAAAATATTAATTATTTAATATAATATTAAATAATTAATAAGTCAACATTTAAATACACACCTAGTGTAAATTATATAATTTTTATTGATTTTGATATTTATATTTCACGTAGGAAACTAGTGTGATGTCTAATGAAATTCCAGTGACCCATTGGAAGCCCATTCTCAATTTTTATGTTTTAAATGAAAAAGTTGATTTTGAACGGAAAGGCATTCCTGGTGAGATCTATCCATTTATCAGGTATGATGAATCGAATATACTTTATAAAGATGTAATTTATAAATTTATACCCAACTGGAAACCATGGAGTAAAGATGAATGTCCATCAGTTTTATAATACTGTTGATCACAGCATGTCTAACATGATTGTTGCCATTTTAGGTTAGCTCTTAATGAGCAATACCTTCCTGTGTTGTATATTGACCAACTGGGAGTGATTTATAGATATCTCAAGGTACGTTAGCTAACTCATGATATACTGTTCACAGTGATGCATTAAGAGGCATGAGAGGCATTTTTTTGTGGGAGGGGGGCAGAGAAGCCTGGCAGGAAATACAGGTGCTTGGGGAGTAGGGGTGGAGTTACACACTGCTACATGCAATTTGTATCATGCATCTTAACAGTTATGTGAGATGAAGATAGGGAAATCATGGTTAGTAGTCCGTTATTTTCTTGTCACTTGAAAATGATGTCATGACGACATCGAAACATTGTGTAAAATTTCTATCGCTCATTTTTACTTTCAAATTGATAATCTTGGAAAAATCAAAACTTATTGCACAGTTACATTTCTACACTCTGGCTTTGTAGCCAAGACACAAGTATTGTACCTTACAATCCATCAAATATTTTTGTTCGCACGTGATTGGTCTAAACACATCATGTGACCGAATATTCCCCAGCTAAAACCAGAGAATATCCAAGAATATTCCCCAATTTTCAAAACTACGTGCGTTGCGAAAAATATTTGAAGGATCTAATAAACACAATAGCCTCCATTTGGTGCAAAACAAGTGCACAGATATTTGTCCTTGGACATTATCTGTTCCTTGAAGCTCACAGTTTTCCTTGAGCTATGCTCTCAGAAAACTGTTTGCTTCTCAAAACAGATAATGTCTGCGGACAAGTATCTGTGCATATTTTCATGCAAAATGGAGGCTATTGTTTATATATCCACCAAAACCAAATTAAATGCTGGCCAGTCACAAAGGTAGCAGACAATCCAAAGTACCAATCAGAACTCCCAGCAAATACATATAGCTCTTGGGAAGCACAGGAAAATGTGAGCAAGCAAACCTGGTGGAGTTTTGATTTAATTTACTTCTGATTGCCTGTATAGGTGACAAAGTGACATGAGTCTTTAAAGCCAATTGCATAGCAAAAGCAAATTATACAAATTTCTTCTGACACTAAAGTGATTTTCAAACCGCTATATTTTGAACCAATGCAGGCTTTACAACCTTACTTCACAATACATTCACAAGCATCTACATGTAAGAAAGATGTGATTGCATTCATTCCCACGGTATATTTGATTGGTACATCTTGATTTTTCTCCAGCGGGTTAACAAAAGTAGCAGCGAGATGGAACTGAAGATAAACTACGCACCTATATCTCTTGGCAAGCTTCGCGTTTGGTCATCACTTCACCATTCATTGAATTCTATGAAAGACCTAGGTATGGAACTAATTAATTATTTCCTTTACGAATGCCTATGTGAAGAAAACAAGAACATTATGTGGCCTAAAATACATGGCCACTGGCACATTCATGTTTTGTATCAAGTCCATGGATGTTGCCAATTCAATTGCCAGCCAAACAGCGTCAGGGGCCCGTTTCTTGAAAGCCCCGGAAACTTTTCGGGCCCACGAAGCCATTTTTATTTAAGCGGTTTTTAAAGACAGAGAGGTGGATATGCCTGAAACCTCTTGCATGAAGAGAACTTCTGTTTATATTAAGAATAGGTGCATAAAACTGCTCTGAACTCATAAGGTTTGAGATTTTGCTATGACTTTTTGGGACCTTCAAGAAACAGGCCCCTGGACATTGAAATTCAGATTAGGGGTCTGATAGCCTGCAGTGCTGGCATTATTTTGGTATGGAACGCTTGACAAACCAGGTGCCGCCATCTTGGATTGTAATTGGGTGCTTGACCGGAAGGGGTGGGTGGAGGGTGGGGCACTTGAAATACCTCCCTTCTTGTTTACTCTCTCAGCAAATTTTTCTTTGCCCCAACTCTCCACATTTACCAAATCCACGATGGCAGTCCATTACGAAAATGTACAATGGCACCCCAATATAGGCCTGCACGCCAGGCTAGGGGCTTCATTACAAAACCACCTTGATTTACCGGTGACATTGAAAATATTGCTCTATATGACTGTATCAGCAAACCAGTTTTATGTTCATTCAAAATTTCAGGATTCTCGGACAAGGATTTGGATGATTTGAGAGGAATTTTCACAGATACAAATCTCTTCTTGCTTGGTGTCACATTTGGAATCACAGTACTTCATGTATGTTTCACAAGATGGTAGTAATAAGTCCATGTATTTAAGGATGTCAGCACAATGCAGGGTTTCATGATGATCATTAGATTAGCTGAAGAGCAGTACAAAAAAAAAAACACAGAAAAAAACAGAGGGGGTTGCAGTGCAGGAAAGCTCCCCGCCCCAAACTATTTCCTCTCTCACTGCTCTTTGTGTTGCTCCTGAACTTACCAACTGCATGTTTTCACTATCATTTGGCGTGTTATGTAGTCTGTACCTACAAACACTAAGGGTGCATTTCTTTGGGAAAATCCAAGAAAGGATTCTTAAATCCAAAAAACAGATTTTCTGTTTCGTTGCTAAACACACATGAATCCAGGATCACGCAGGTCATGGTGCATCAAAGAAACTGATAAATCCTTGCCCAGCTGAGGCAGGTGAGGGTGGATTCTTGGGTTCCTTTGACGCACCACGACCGTAGTGATCTTGGATTAATCTGTTAAGAAAAGAAATACAAAATCCGCTTTGGGATTGAAAAAATCTAATCTTGGATTTTTCCAAAGATTGTACTCTAAATGGTCCTGATTTTATATAGTTAGGATTTGACACACGAAATGTTAAGAGGCAATTCTAGAGGGCTTCTACAAATGCTGATAAAAGTGTCCGGTTTATTTTGCAGCTTTTATTTGACTTTTTAGCATTTAAGAACGACATAAATTACTGGAAGAGTAGGAACAGTATGGTGGGACTGTCTATACGAACAGGTAAATAAGAGGTATACTTGTCTAGCAAGAAGTAAACACTACCTCATAGATAGAAATAAAAGTGAGGGGAGAAAGATGCTTTTTTATAACACAAGTACTTTGGGAGAATGGTTTACTGGACTCTGCGTCACAATTTTGACAAATTGTGACGAAAATCCAGGACGGTTAGTCCAGAGTCAACAAAGTCTATCAGGTTGCTGAACGTAGAAAAGTCTTTCATTTACTGATCACTATCTTTAGCGACATTCCTTATTTAATAACCTACAAAGTTAACCTAATCCAGATTGTTCATATGCAGTATCAGTTACTGATTCTATTTTATTTCCTTTTACTTTCCAGTTATTTGGCGATGCGTGAGTACACTGATAATCTTCTTGTATCTAATGGACGAGAAAACTAGCCTCCTTGTTCTTATTCCAGCTGGGATCGGCTCACTTATCGAGGTACGTCCGCTCTTGGGGCAAAGTAGCGCAAGTTATCGAAGTATAATCAAGTCTCTGAAGTATAACCCAGTGTCTATAAGATGAAGCGAATATTATTATGTTGTTACTTCTTTCTTGGATGGGATGCTAGTCCGTGGCAGGCTACCCTCTCTTGCCACCATTTTCCACCTCACTAGTTTGTCCCATATGCCTAAATCACTTTGTCAGTACCCATTTACACTCCTGGAAAGAGAGAGGCGGTGTGAGGATAAAATGTCTTGTTCAAGATCACAACACAATGATCGTATCCAGGGTTGGAATGAAGAATCTAACAGGCTTACTGTTGGTTTGCCGCGTCTCTCATACTTTAGTCTCCTGCGCACACGCTCTTTAGGTTCGTCGCGCAATCTTCCTCCCCCATGGAGGAATCTTAGTATGACGAGCCCGAAGAGCGTCTTCGTAAGAGGCTACTCACAGATGTAACCTAGTGTACAAACTTTAACAGTTAACAGTGTTTGCCCATTCTACCATCAGAAGTAAAATTACCAAAGAGAGATAAATGTCTTTGTGATACAACCACACGTTACGACTAATTGTGCTTTGTAATTTTTACAGATGTGGAAGGTTGCAAAAGCGTTCAAAGTCAGCATCAAATGGGAAAACGGTTCAAGACCTACAATTCAGGTGAACAGAAAACCTTCTCTGCACACGTTTCTCCTCTCTCTCTCTCAGTCCCAGAGTTTGCTTATAAAGTTCAAGTACAATACAACTACTGGATAATGTGTGTTACCTTTTCATTATTTTTTTCGGGGAGAATAAACGTTATCTACTTCTTATGAAACAAATTATCTGCATGATGTCTCTGTTGACTCCTTTGTGTTTTTCCCTATCAAGTTCGGACAAAAGACAAACAAGGAAAAAGAGACGGAACAGTTTGATGGCGAGGTATGTGAATTTAAACGAACGTAAAATGACAGTGGCTTAAAAATACGTTTCTTTGTCCCTGGTTGTTAGGTTTTAAGTGCTTGTAAGTCCCTTTGTTTGCTACCTATAGTGACTACGAGCAGTCCTTCTTTCGCTTAGTCTGTCGTGCGTGACACGAAAGAAAACCGCGAGAAAAAAATGGCCGCGCGAAATGTTAGGGGAGAGGAGCGCGCGATTTCGCACGGGCGACGGCCATTTTTTTCTCTCGGTTTTCTTTCCCGTCACGCACGACGAACTAAGCGAGGACCACTGCCGACTGATATGTACTCCCACTCTTCACAAGTGCGTATATTGCCTTTTTCGTGCGTTCTGACTCTCCCCGGCTTCGGGCGTTTGACAGTCGATTGAAAAAGCGACAGCTCATAATCAAACCTAGCCACAAGGAATTCACATGCTATAATCTATAGCAACCCACGAAAAGCACGTTAGACGAAAGAATGATTTACATGTACTTCTGATTGCGAGGCTGATTTTTCGGGGGATTCTTAGTGAAGAAACAGAGTGTGGCGAATTTCAAACACAATGATTGAAGTGCAAACAAATTGGACTCTTTAAGAAAATTAGCCTCACTGTCCGAGACGGTTTCCAAAATATTACTAAAACTTAACGGAGCTTCTTCACGATATGGAGCAGCCTAAATGTTTGGAAGGTTGCCTTTTATAACCGTCCTAATGTTATCAGTCCTTGTTTTTCTTGTTTTCTTACTCTTCTCTTTGGCGTTGTTATACCTTATAAACCATAACTGGGGCTTGCTTTGATTACAATCTCTGCATATGTTTATTTTTGTTTTGTCCAGGCCATGCGTTATCTTTCATATGCCTTGTATCCTTTGTTGTTAGCCGGAGCTGTATACTCGCTGGTGTATCATCCACACAAAAGGTACTCAAAACAACCATAATGCTGTCAATTAAACTCAACAACAATTTGCAAGAACATAGTTCTGTTTCCTCATTCAGCGAAATTAGTTAAGACTAATGAGGGATACCAAAAGGACCTCAATGGTGCAATAACGTTTCGTAACAGTAACTACATGTACTCTTTTTCTTACTTGGCTCAATATCACCTGATTTGTGTTTTCCTACGTGAGTAAACTTGTTTCCTGTGATATAAAAGTCGCATTTCAACGTCACTGCTTCATAACATGAAATCCCTTGACGTCAGTTTTCAGTTTAAAAACAATTAAATCACAGAACGTTTTGCTGCTGAGAATAGATTAGATTAAAGGCAGAAATTTAAGTCCACGTTCTCTATGAGGAGAAGAGGAGCAGAGGCATGGATCACTAAAAAAAAGTAAATAAACAAAAATGGACTTTTAGTGGTTTCGTTTGTGTTGGAGAGCTGAGGTGACTGTATGAAGCTATCAGGCAAGGTAAACACTGAAACGAGTCGAACGATCTGCTTAGCTTTACATCACTTATCAATAGTACAGTAGGCTGTTGTTTGTCGGACTTGTAACTTTGTTCGTAACTGATCGTTACAAGCTAAGTTGACTTTGTTTTGTGTTCTTTGCAGTTGGTATTCCTGGATTGTTCGAAGCCTGGTGAATGGTCAGTACTCTCTCATCCATTTGATTTCTAGTCACTCATTTTACTAACTAAGACCCTGATAGGTATTGATAAAGTTTGGGTCAGGCTAGTGGCACATACAGCTGGAGCTTATCTCAGTTTATGTAGTATGAAGTGACAAGGAGTATTTCTACTGCGCCCTGGATGGGATGCTATAGTCTATCGTACGGTTACCCCCACCCTCAGTATTCATTTACACTCCTGGGTGGAGAGGCGCACTGTGAGAATAAAGTGTCTTGCCCAAGAAAACAACATAATAAACCCGACCAGGGCTCGAACCCGGACCGCTCAATCCGGTGTCCAGCGACCTAACCATGAGGCCACCGCCCCTCTAACCCTAATAGATACGATACTGCTATAACATAAAGTAACAAACACTTTATTTAAGTATGTGATTGTTTTGACCACACAGTACTTTGTTTGCTGAAGAACCCTGAAAAAAAAATAACAGTAACAAGATTACAACGAGACTATTGTCAAATTTCTTTGATTGCAGTTTTTTCCAGGCTTCTTCGATTTCAATCGGTAACCTATTGCAAACTCAACCACTGCGAGGATCATTCTGTTCACTTTCTCTATCCGCGGTTCAAAGACCTCATTATTTTGTTATTGTGTTTGTCTTTCTTTAGGTGTCTATGTGTTTGGTTTCCTGTTCATGTTGCCCCAGCTATTTGTCAACTACAAGGTTAGTCGTTGATAGCCAGGGTAACTGAGGTTGACTAGCTATAACAGAGTTCACTGAAATCATTCGCATTGGCGACAAATGTTATGAATCAGTTAGAGACCAAATACGCCGTCCCTGATGCTGTCTAAACTCCGCTTAAGGGTAGCCTTTTTGTTGTTAAGAATTATTAAGAATTCCTTACAAAGGCCACCTTTCCACAACAACAAATTAATGGTGCCCTGAGAGTGGCTGTTGTAGACAGTTGAAATCTGGATTTCGCGAGGCGGCGTTCGACACTGCTTGATGGAAACCATCTTTTATCGATGTGCTGTTTGCAGAACTGAATTATCTATAGTGGCAAAATGATAGTGGGATACGAGGAGACAAAGCCGCAAGATAAATGTGGAAGAGGCGTCTTATCCCCATAGCGTATAGTTGCTATTATTTTTGAAATCGTGCGAGCTGAACTGCCAGCTACCGCAGGCCGCATAACATTACTCATTTATGAACGTTCCTCGTCGTCTACCAACTGACTTGTTCTTTTTCTTTTTTCAGCTCAAATCAGTCGCTCACCTTCCTTGGAGAGCGTTTATGTACAAGGTATGTAGAACGTTTTGTGAGATGAATCCTGGTGTACTACATGAATTTAGCTCTTCAATAACACTCTCTTCTGCCATTAACTTTGACGTTATTAGAAAGTTTGCTTTTTTTCTCATTCAGTAACTCTCTTCCTTTGCACAGGAATTCTGAAAGCAACAAAAGTTTTCACAACAAAACAAATTGCAATACTGGAACTCGTTAAATTTAGCTTGTGATTTCTTTCCCTCTCTCAAGCTCTCTCTCATCCCACTAGTCTTCCCTCCTTACTTTCCCCTCCCCTCTCCTCTCCCCCCTTCCCCTTGCTCTCTTCCTCTTTTCCCCCTCCCTCCCTCCCTCCCTCCCTAATTTCCTCCCCTAATTTGCAGTTTTCTTTGCAGGCGTTCAACACGTTCATTGACGATGTGTTTGCATTTATAATCGTCATGCCCACCGCTCACCGCCTGGCCTGTTTCAGGGATGACGTCGTGTTCGTTATTTATCTCTATCAGAGATGGTAAGTCGCATCTGCTCCTTGAAAATCTAAGAAACCTATTCCATCGTCTAGAAACGATTGCGTGACTTGGGTGACTCCTGACGTGCCTCTACTCGAGACAACGTTTTTAGTTATCCGTGACGCTGAAAATAAGTTCAGTACATAAGAAACCTGGCCTTTTACAACCACTCACCTCTGGATCTGGAAAACGTGCGTTGCTATGGTGACGAGTGATGCTTAAACATACGATACGTGCTTCTAGCCTTCTCTGGAAAAGATTGTGACTCGCATGATACGTGACGCTCAATGTAAGTCACACAAGCCAAATACAGGTCCAACTGGTCTGACTGCCCAGTCCACAATGCCTGCCTTTTTTGTGCCATGCCTCCTTTGCACATTGCACTCAGCCTTCGTACCAAGCGTTCCCGTACCAAGAGCTTTTTAGGCATTTTAGCCGCGCGCAAATTGGAACGAGAGGAAAAACATCGACGAAGCAGGGGCTTCGTCAATTTTCTTTTCTCCTTACGGGAACGCTTGCTGCGCAGGCTACGATGCACTCAGTGTTGCTCTCCCGTGTCTTTGAGAGACAATGCTAGCATGTTACGTACTGTCTGATTCAATACTGTTCCTCCTCAGGTTGTATCCAGTCGACATGAAGAGGGTGAACGAGTTTGGTGTTTCGTACGAAGACCAGGAAAACGAAGACAAACCACACGAAGACTAATAATGCCTTAATAACCAAAATGTGGCCGTAGTTAGTTAATAGAAAATAAAAAGTAAATTAACACTTTAACGTAATGATTGCACACTCCAAGGCTTGGAATTCTCTGACTTTGTTACGGTCCTTAGACTACATTGAACTCGGTCAAATTTAAAATGACATTACCATCGATAGCAGCGTTTGTATCGTACAGTGAAACCTGTATTAAGCGGACCCCATATTAAGCGGACACCTTCTATTAAGTGGACACCAGCTGAAGTCCCAAAATTTTCTTCCCACATTTACTGTAAAATAAACCTGCATTCAGCGGACACTTCTGTTAAGCCGACACGGACACCAATATTAAGCCATTTTTTGGCACAAAACCTGCAATAAGCGGACACTTCAAGGGCTTTTTACTTCTAAAGGTTCAGCTGAGACTCCTTTAACATTGTTCAACGATGTTGTTTTAAAGCTAAGTGATTATTCCAGATTGACGCATCGATTGACTGGACAGTGTACTATGCGAGTCTTTTATCTTACACTGTGTTACACCGTGTTACAAAAGAGTTAACAATAAACTATTATTGCCGAACATACTAGAACCTGTTTTGAACGGACACCCTGTATTAAGCGGACACTAGTGAGGGTCCCAAGGGTGTCCGCTTAATACAGGTTTCATTACTGTGCAAAAAAAGGCAATGTATCGTGCGGGAAAATCTCAATAATTAACACTTTCCTACCAAGCATTCCCCCTAGTCCCAACAAAATATGCGTCGGGACAACATACTGCCATACTGTCCTGCTGCTCTGCTATATAAGTGGTACAAACGAACCTTTGCCACGTAATAGATTTGTGCCGTCTAGACATCCCCTCCCGTTTCCATTCGGTTAGGAAAATCCCACGTTATCATTCAAAACGGGTTTCCAAGGGGTTGGAAGTCCTTGTTATCTGTCATCCGTGCACTACAAACCTAGACTGCACTGCCACATGAAATGAGCTCAAGAGACTGCAAAACGCTGCTGAGGTCCTATGAGGGGTTTTTAAAAAGAGTAATGGGATACAGGATATTTGAGAGAAAAATTAATGTGAATGGGAAATTCAGGTCAGATAGAATGGGATATCGATTAGGAGAATCTTTAAAGGGATACGGGATATTTGGGCCAAAAATTAACAGCATGTGGAATACAGACCCCAGCCGTCTCTTCCCTTTACCCCGACGGGGGTGCGGGAGAGACGGCTGAAATTCAGACTAAGGGTTGAGGAGATGTATTAGATATTTGATAATTGCTGGTAAAATTTTCACAATCCTTTCAGTTTACTTTTTGTTGATGGTAATCATCACACTTGACCCTGGTGGTGTGGATGTGAGATGATTAAAAGCAACCAGATTTTCCTCTGTGGAGGACCATTTGACAGAAGCTGGCGTGACTGTCACGCTATAACCCAGTGGGTAGTGCACCGCTTCGTTCAAATAGACAACAGATTCAGTTGAGTGGCACGTGTCGGACACTTCATAAACTAACATGAAGTCTTTGGATGACAAATCAAAGCTAAATTTTACAGTATTACCCGCAACGGCTTGAGGGTAAGTACGAGTCGTGTTTTGAACGTAAATTTGATTGAGTCCTGTTCCATTCCACAATGGACAACACCTGTCGCCTTTCAGGCTGGGGCGGGACGGATGATACGCCTTGTAATCCCATCCAATCCACGACTGCAGGTAAATGTCAGCAGCGATCATCGTTTCAAACATTGTTTCAATCTTTCCCACGGTAGTGTGAAATTCCGTTAGCATTCCAGCACATTTTAATCTCTCCAAATCCGCTTTCCGTGCCTCGAAGTTCTCGATTAGTTCTATCGATGGAGGGATGTAGTAATGATAACTGAGAACGCTTCTATTGCGGTACTCATCCCCGCCTGGCACACTGTTAAACCCGACTCCAAAGTCATCCCATGTTACACCTTCAAAGAAAATACAATGTTGATCATCATGTTGCCTGATAGCTTTGCTTAGGACTTCGTAGACAGGAGCCAAGTTCATCCTATCCGCGACTTTTGGAACGACAAGCAGTGGATTTGCGTAAATGTCGCCTGCCCATGGTTCATTGATAAGCTCGTAGCCAATAACATTGGAGAAATTCTTAAAACCCGAGGCAGTCTTGGCCCAAAATGCAGCCCAGCTATCTAACAACCCGTCAGTGTTGTTGTACAAGTTTTGAAAAGCCACGCTAGTCGCTTCGGTGAGGTAGTAATCTGACCAAACAAACTTAGCGCAATCTTCGTCCGATGGCATTCCTGTTTTGGGATCGAGAGCAAACGGCTCGTGTAATGGTTCAGGGAATCCTTTGGCATTTCCCGGGTTGACTGCCCAGGTTGGTAAACCCTCGACGCACAACATCCTGGAAAAGGCATCCCGGTGCATGTCCAGCAGGACATAAATACCGTATTTTGCAGAGAGTGTGACGATATGCTGCATAACTTGCAGGTAAGTCTCGTTGTATTTGCCTCTCGTGGGTTCCAACCCAGGCCACATAAATCCAAGACGCACAACATTGAGGCCAAGCGATTTCAAAAGTTTCATGTCTTGCTCAGAGAATGTTCCATCCGAAAAGCCTTCGAGTTCGGGATGCCACGGAAATTCTTTGACCACAACATTTGTACCGTGAAAGAAGACCTCCCGACCGAAGCTGTCTACCAACCTCTGTCTGTCCGGGTTCACAGTGATAGGTAGAAGATCAGCTGAGACTGAGGAGGCGACAACACCAAGTAAGAACAGTTGAGAAAGCATCGTCATAAAACTGCAACTTCTTCGCCTTTGACTTCTCCCTAGCCCTGAAAATGACAGGAAAGTGAATTGAGAAATCAGTCACGAGAATAAGGTTTCAATTTACAAGGGTTGTATTTGCGTTGTCACGTAATGTTTCTCCCACGTAATGACCCGGACAAACGACATGTCACACACGCAGTCTAAAATAACTCGCAACCGACTGGATGTCACAAAATTAGCTAAAATTGCAGCGAGTGTCCTTCACTGATTCTACTTCATTTTCCTTTTTTTGAATTTTGTTCTGAACGCTTTCAGGGATGGAAACGTAGCAAATCGTTAGAATTGCGTGTAATGCTGTACCTTACGTACACGTGGGGTGTACAGCACTGATTTGAGTTGAACTCTATAAGGTGTTGCAACACAGTAATGACTATACGTGGCATTCCTTGGGAGCAAATCTGAACGGCATGAAAAGCCAGCATTCATTAGGGATTCAAAGTTTCGACGGCACTGCTCGCGAGCATTCCGCCACAATCCGCACCCAAATTTCCCAGGGCTCTCCCTTGGGCGACCCTCGGATATACAGTACACATAAGACTAGAGGTTAGAGATTCTGAACAGCACAGGAAGGCAGTGAACAGCTTTGCAAAAGCGTTGCTTGACTAGCCAAGGACTGCAATATTACCACAGGACGAATGCCACAGGTAAAGGGAGCGAGAATTTGTTAAGATATATACGTAGCGTACATTTATTTCGTGTTTCTGCATGTTATTAGCCAGTTTTACCCCAGAAAATAACTTGCGAAATAAGTTACAGTAATGTTTTGAGCCCAATAGTAATGTTTTTAATGTAGAATTTAGTATGTTTGGTTCGTGATCACCATTTGTTTAATTTATTATTTTGTAGCCGCCACGTTAGTCTTGTGATTCTAGGGCCCGAGTGCCCACACAAGGAGTTTCAAGTTGTTTATCACACTGTTCGTCGACTGGCCTTGGACTGGATCCCGACTGGATCTCCCACTTTAGCTCCTACTGGATGTTGCAAGAATTCATAAGTTCGCTTCTGAAAGCCGGGAGAAAGTGTTTGGGTTTGTATTCTAAAAGGATGTTTAATCCTCCAAGGTCATTTTGCAGATGTGGTCCACACATAGCTACCGATAGGGCATTTTAAGGGTATTTGACCAAAGACCAGATTCTCGGTACCTCCCTGCGCATGCTGAGCAAGCCGACAGAGGACGCGGGGGCGTAGCGTAACGCAACTGAAGGGTGCAAAATGAAACCTCATATCATGTAATCTTCTGATTTCCCAATTCACTATTTTGTCATCGATAGAGTTAGTAAAAGGTAGAAACGTCGCAGTTCTATCCCAATGCTTTCGGAATTTCTAGTGCTAAGCATTTTCGCCTCCTCTGCAGCAGCAGATCTTCTCTCTATCTCTGTGAACCCGGACAGACAGAGGTTGGTAGACAGCTTCGGTCGGGAGGTCTTCTTTCACGGTACAAATGTTGTGGTCAAAGAATTTCCGTGGCATCCCGAACTCGAAGGCTTTTCGGATGGAACATTCTCTGAGCAAGACATGAAACTTTTGAAATCGCTTGGCCTCAATGTTGTGCGTCTTGGATTTATGTGGCCTGGGTTGGAACCCACGAGAGGCAAATACAACGAGACTTACCTGCAAGTTATGCAGCATATCGTCACACTCTCTGCAAAATACGGTATTTATGTCCTGCTGGACATGCACCGGGATGCCTTTTCCAGGATGTTGTGCGTCGAGGGTTTACCAACCTGGGCAGTCAACCCGGGAAATGCCAAAGGATTCCCTGAACCATTACACGAGCCGTTTGCTCTCGATCCCAAAACAGGAATGCCATCGGACGAAGATTGCGCTAAGTTTGTTTGGTCAGATTACTACCTCACCGAAGCGACTAGCGTGGCTTTTCAAAACTTGTACAACAACACTGACGGGTTGTTAGATAGCTGGGCTGCATTTTGGGCCAAGACTGCCTCGGGTTTTAAGAATTTCTCCAATGTTATTGGCTACGAGCTTATCAATGAACCATGGGCAGGCGACATTTACGCAAATCCACTGCTTGTCGTTCCAAAAGTCGCGGATAGGATGAACTTGGCTCCTGTCTACGAAGTCCTAAGCAAAGCTATCAGGCAACATGATGATCAACATTGTATTTTCTTTGAAGGTGTAACATGGGATGACTTTGGAGTCGGGTTTAACAGTGTGCCAGGCGGGGATGAGTACCGCAATAGAAGCGTTCTCAGTTATCATTACTACATCCCTCCATCGATAGAACTAATCGAGAACTTCGAGGCACGGAAAGCGGATTTGGAGAGATTAAAATGTGCTGGAATGCTAACGGAATTTCACACTACCGTGGGAAAGATTGAAACAATGTTTGAAACGATGATCGCTGCTGACATTTACCTGCAGTCGTGGATTGGATGGGATTACAAGGCGTATCATCCGTCCCGCCCCAGCCTGAAAGGCGACAGGTGTTGTCCATTGTGGAATGGAACAGGACTCAATCAAATTTACGTTCAAAACACGACTCGTACTTACCCTCAAGCCGTTGCGGGTAATACTGTAAAATTCAGCTTTGATTTGTCATCTAAAGAATTCGTGTTAGTTTATGAAGTGTCCGACACGTGCCACTCAACTGAATCTGTTGTCTATTTGAACGAAGCGGTGCACTACCCACTGGGTTATAGCGTGACAGTCACGCCAGCTTCTGTCAAATGGTCCTCCACAGAGGAAAATCTGGTTGCTTTTAATCATCTCACATCCACACCACCAGGGTCAAGTGTGATGATTACCATCAACAAAAAGTAAACTGAAAGGATTGTGAAAATTTTACCAGCAATTATCAAATATCGAATACATCTCCTCAACCCTTAGTCTGAATTTCAGCCGTCTCTCCCGCACCCCCGTCGGGGTAAAGGGAAGAGACGGCTGGGGTCTGTATTCCACATGCTGTTAATTTTTGGCCCAAATATCCCGTATCCCTTTAAAGATTCTCCTAATCGATATCCCATTCTATCTGACCTGAATTTCCCATTCACATTAATTTTTCTCTCAAATATCCTGTATCCCATTACTCTTTTTAAAAACCCCTCATAGGACCTCAGCAGCGTTTTGCAGTCTCTTGAGCTCATTTCATGTGGCAGTGCAGTCTAGGTTTGTAGTGCACGGATGACAGATAACAAGGACTTCCAACCCCTTGGAAACCCGTTTTGAATGATAACGTGGGATTTTCCTAACCGAATGGAAACGGGAGGGGATGTCTAGACGGCACAAATCTATTACGTGGCAAAGGTTCGTTTGTACCACTTATATAGCAGAGCAGCAGGACAGTATGGCAGTATGTTGTCCCGACGCATATTTTGTTGGGACTAGGGGGAATGCTTGGTAGGAAAGTGTTAATTATTGAGATTTTCCCGCACGATACATTGCCTTTTTTTGCACAGTAATGAAACCTGTATTAAGCGGACACCCTTGGGACCCTCACTAGTGTCCGCTTAATACAGGGTGTCCGTTCAAAACAGGTTCTAGTATGTTCGGCAATAATAGTTTATTGTTAACTCTTTTGTAACACGGTGTAACACAGTGTAAGATAAAAGACTCGCATAGTACACTGTCCAGTCAATCGATGCGTCAATCTGGAATAATCACTTAGCTTTAAAACAACATCGTTGAACAATGTTAAAGGAGTCTCAGCTGAACCTTTAGAAGTAAAAAGCCCTTGAAGTGTCCGCTTATTGCAGGTTTTGTGCCAAAAAATGGCTTAATATTGGTGTCCGTGTCGGCTTAACAGAAGTGTCCGCTGAATGCAGGTTTATTTTACAGTAAATGTGGGAAGAAAATTTTGGGACTTCAGCTGGTGTCCACTTAATAGAAGGTGTCCGCTTAATATGGGGTCCGCTTAATACAGGTTTCACTGTACGATACAAACGCTGCTATCGATGGTAATGTCATTTTAAATTTGACCGAGTTCAATGTAGTCTAAGGACCGTAACAAAGTCAGAGAATTCCAAGCCTTGGAGTGTGCAATCATTACGTTAAAGTGTTAATTTACTTTTTATTTTCTATTAACTAACTACGGCCACATTTTGGTTATTAAGGCATTATTAGTCTTCGTGTGGTTTGTCTTCGTTTTCCTGGTCTTCGTACGAAACACCAAACTCGTTCACCCTCTTCATGTCGACTGGATACAACCTGAGGAGGAACAGTATTGAATCAGACAGTACGTAACATGCTAGCATTGTCTCTCAAAGACACGGGAGAGCAACACTGAGTGCATCGTAGCCTGCGCAGCAAGCGTTCCCGTAAGGAGAAAAGAAAATTGACGAAGCCCCTGCTTCGTCGATGTTTTTCCTCTCGTTCCAATTTGCGCGCGGCTAAAATGCCTAAAAAGCTCTTGGTACGGGAACGCTTGGTACGAAGGCTGAGTGCAATGTGCAAAGGAGGCATGGCACAAAAAAGGCAGGCATTGTGGACTGGGCAGTCAGACCAGTTGGACCTGTATTTGGCTTGTGTGACTTACATTGAGCGTCACGTATCATGCGAGTCACAATCTTTTCCAGAGAAGGCTAGAAGCACGTATCGTATGTTTAAGCATCACTCGTCACCATAGCAACGCACGTTTTCCAGATCCAGAGGTGAGTGGTTGTAAAAGGCCAGGTTTCTTATGTACTGAACTTATTTTCAGCGTCACGGATAACTAAAAACGTTGTCTCGAGTAGAGGCACGTCAGGAGTCACCCAAGTCACGCAATCGTTTCTAGACGATGGAATAGGTTTCTTAGATTTTCAAGGAGCAGATGCGACTTACCATCTCTGATAGAGATAAATAACGAACACGACGTCATCCCTGAAACAGGCCAGGCGGTGAGCGGTGGGCATGACGATTATAAATGCAAACACATCGTCAATGAACGTGTTGAACGCCTGCAAAGAAAACTGCAAATTAGGGGAGGAAATTAGGGAGGGAGGGAGGGAGGGAGGGGGAAAAGAGGAAGAGAGCAAGGGGAAGGGGGGAGAGGAGAGGGGAGGGGAAAGTAAGGAGGGAAGACTAGTGGGATGAGAGAGAGCTTGAGAGAGGGAAAGAAATCACAAGCTAAATTTAACGAGTTCCAGTATTGCAATTTGTTTTGTTGTGAAAACTTTTGTTGCTTTCAGAATTCCTGTGCAAAGGAAGAGAGTTACTGAATGAGAAAAAAAGCAAACTTTCTAATAACGTCAAAGTTAATGGCAGAAGAGAGTGTTATTGAAGAGCTAAATTCATGTAGTACACCAGGATTCATCTCACAAAACGTTCTACATACCTTGTACATAAACGCTCTCCAAGGAAGGTGAGCGACTGATTTGAGCTGAAAAAAGAAAAAGAACAAGTCAGTTGGTAGACGACGAGGAACGTTCATAAATGAGTAATGTTATGCGGCCTGCGGTAGCTGGCAGTTCAGCTCGCACGATTTCAAAAATAATAGCAACTATACGCTATGGGGATAAGACGCCTCTTCCACATTTATCTTGCGGCTTTGTCTCCTCGTATCCCACTATCATTTTGCCACTATAGATAATTCAGTTCTGCAAACAGCACATCGATAAAAGATGGTTTCCATCAAGCAGTGTCGAACGCCGCCTCGCGAAATCCAGATTTCAACTGTCTACAACAGCCACTCTCAGGGCACCATTAATTTGTTGTTGTGGAAAGGTGGCCTTTGTAAGGAATTCTTAATAATTCTTAACAACAAAAAGGCTACCCTTAAGCGGAGTTTAGACAGCATCAGGGACGGCGTATTTGGTCTCTAACTGATTCATAACATTTGTCGCCAATGCGAATGATTTCAGTGAACTCTGTTATAGCTAGTCAACCTCAGTTACCCTGGCTATCAACGACTAACCTTGTAGTTGACAAATAGCTGGGGCAACATGAACAGGAAACCAAACACATAGACACCTAAAGAAAGACAAACACAATAACAAAATAATGAGGTCTTTGAACCGCGGATAGAGAAAGTGAACAGAATGATCCTCGCAGTGGTTGAGTTTGCAATAGGTTACCGATTGAAATCGAAGAAGCCTGGAAAAAACTGCAATCAAAGAAATTTGACAATAGTCTCGTTGTAAT